CATAGGTTTGGGAGAGATGCACTTATCTCTTGCCTTCATCGCACTAACCAGCTGTTTGCCACTGACCTAGGCAGTGGAATTTAATGCAAAAAAAATTTCCATATACAGCAAGGCTAGAGTTGGTCTGGCAGTGGACTAAGCTTTCTCATACTAAGCATAATTTAGCCTCAAGAACCTGACTTCTTAGCTCCTTCTGCAAGAAGGGGAGCTGGGCAGACCTCTCTAGCAGGCACCTAACTTAAGTTCTGCAAAGCAATGTTTCAAGGTGCTTCTCTCTTTTTATTAGCCTCAGGAACCTGACTTCTTAACTCCTGTAAGAAGGGGAGCTGGGCAGACCTCTCTAGAGGACAGCAGGCACCTAACTTAAGTTCTGTGAAGCAATGTTTCAAGGTGCTTCTCTCTTTTTATGGGATACAGTGGTGCAAGAACACTCTCACGTGCTCACACCAGTAATTAGTGTGGTTTAGCTAATCACAGAATCACAGAATGGCAAGGGTTGGAAGGGACCTCGGGAGATCATCCAGTCCAACCCCCCTGCTAAAGCAGGCTCTCCTAGAGCAGGTTACACAGGACTTCATCCAGGCGGGCTTTGAATATCTCCAGAGAAGGAGACTCTACAACCCTCCTGGGCAGCCTGTTCCAGTGCTCCATCACCCTCAGAGTAAAGAAGTTTTTCCTCATATTCAACTGAAACCTCATGTCTCAATTTGTACCCATTGCCCCTTGTCCTGTCACCGGACACGACTGCAAAGAGTCTGGTTCTGTCCTCATGACTTCCACCCTTAAGACATTTGTATGTGTTGATGAGGTCCCCTCTCAGTCTTCTTAATGCATTGATATGATTTTAAAGCTCGCTTTGCTGTGAGTTCCCAGCTAAAAAGCCACCTGCAGATGTTGTGTCTTCTGCTGCCTCAGATGTTTCTTGACTGAATATCTGTCCCCCCTCCTCCTAAACACAGTTATCCCACTTCATCGCCACCTCACTCCTGTTTTCGGGCATGGACTGAGTGCCACCCAGCTGACAAAAAGCAGCCATTTCAATTCCCTGTGTAGTCACTAGAAAGACACTTACAGGACGTGACTCATTGCACCCTTATCTGCAATCTGGTGGATGAACTGTGCCCTGAAAGCTCTACTTTCTTTCCCCTGGCTATGAAGAGGGTCCACATGCCCAGCTCGATGGAGATGATGGTGGAGACAGCTGTATTAAGCGAGATGAATCTCACCCCTGCCCTGGCAGGGAGGCTGGGCTGGGGACTTGGACGGCAAATGTGGAATTGGAAGAGGGAGCATTAGGAAAGAGGGAGATTGTTTCCTAAGGCAGGGAGAGGGAGGCAAACTCACCCAAGCACAGCGCACTGAGGAGACATTGTATGAAGTGGAGAATGGGGAACGTTTGTTTTTCTTACTCCGTTGTTTCTGGGTGTTTATAACCTTCTTGGTTCTGTGGTAAAGCCACAGAGCTCAAACTCTTGAAAGGCAACCACTGCACGTCGTATGGTAGCAGAACACCGTGTCTAGTTTTGAGAACATTGTATATGAAAGCCTTGTTTTGGTGTGCGGCATTTGGGTTTTGAATAGGTTTGGCTACATTTTTGCTTAAATCTGTGACTTCAGAAACACCCGCCTCTTCGCTATTTTCATCTAAAGGGAAAAACACATTACTGAGAAAGAAAATTGGCTTTTTATACAGCAGCAGAAATTCAGATCCTTCTCTTTGGCTGGAACTTTCTCAGCCTTGCCTTATGTTGGGTTGGAAGGGCAGTAGAGAGTATCCTCCCTGGAAATAATCAAACTGGATGACAAGCATGTGTCCTGGTCTTGGGTAACAATAAAATAAAGGTCTGGTGGGACATTTTAGTTGTGGCTTTAGGACTCATCTCATTCGACCTGTGGCCTTAACATGGCAGTGGTCATTGAGCTTTTAGCTGGAGCTCTCAAGTGTGGGACGGAAATTATTTGTTAGTGTTGATGATTTTTTCTGACCTTGCAATGCATAAAACATTTTTCCAAATAGAGGGCTGTATATTCTTTGTCTGGGGGCTCACATTTTACAAATGGAGAACATAAAGAAAAAGCAGCAGATGACAGAGTGCCTCTACCATGGCAGGGCTGAGGAACAGGGAGTCAAGTGAAGAAAGTCGTGGAATGACTTTGGAAATGTGAGGTTTTGGAGAAGCATTGGAGGAGATGGAGCAAAGACTCACTAAGCCAGGTTGTTCCAAGATTCACGACCAGGGTCAGGAGATGGAAACCATGGGTAGAAAACATCCAAAAGCTGGGCTTTGAAGGTATAATTAATGCAACAGGAAAAACAGGAGAAACAAAGCTGAACATCAAGGAAGAAAGCAGGGAGACCAACATTGCAACACTCTGAAGGCAATAGTGAGCAAAGTCAAAGGTAGTGGCTTTCCACCAGTAGCTAAAGGGTGGATTTTTTTGCTGTGGTAAAAGGGAAGGACATAACATCTCATCTCTGATGAGGTGGGGAGATTTCTCCATCTGAAGGCAGAAGCAGATACTGCGGGATCTCTATCCGTGACATCTGCTTTGCCTCAGCAGGATCACAATTTTTTAACAACTTTTTTAACAATTTTTTTTAGTTTTAGTTGTACGATGGGCACTTTGCTGCTGGGGGCCACTGTAGCTGGAAGGTTTGTAAAGGTATTTGCTCTCTGGTTGACCTTACAAGAAACACTTGTACGTGTTTGACAACTTTAATTTATTCTGCATTGCATTTCAAATCCATGGGAGCGAGCACTAATATGCAAGTATAATGAGAAAGAAAGTCCTCTCATTTAAATGACTGAGATCTGGTACCCATCTTGTGTGAATGAAATTCAGTTCAATGAAATTCTTTCTTTTGTGAGTTTTAATCCTTTTCAGGTTTAACTTGCAAATCTATTCCGTGTATTCCTGTAAGATGAATAGCAAGATGGAAAGGCCGTAGGAGCACAGACCGGCTTTTATCTTGTATCTGACCCTCAGTAGCATATTTCAAGCCTCATCCATGCCTGCAGCTCCTAGGCACTGCTGCTGTACAGAGTAAATGAGATAAATGTGATGCTCTTCACAAGAAAATCAGCACCCCCCTTATCCTCTTTAGTACCAAGATGTAGTTTAATTTTTACTAAATGAATGATTATCCCATGCCTTATGTTTCCCCAGATATATATCAGAGGACATTGCCCTCTCAAAGGGATCTATCAGTGAAACTGTTCTGCAAAACAAGGGGGGGGTATTTTCTTCCCCCCCCAATGATATTTTTTCTTGATAGTGCATTTTCCCAGAAACCTTCTTGCAAACAACATCTACAGCAGGATCCAGTTACAAAACTGACCTCGCTGTGCTGGGACAAGCTGAAAAGACTAAGGCAAAATAATACGGATAGCACTGTATGCATTGAGATAGCTGATTTGTGACCAGTTTGACCTAGCCTCTTTACCTTTTCTTTACTTATGTCTGTTCCCAGGTCTCCTTGCTGATCCCCCTAAGGAATTAAAACCAATAGGTCTTACAGCCACAATACTTCAGGCATCTCTGCCATAAAAAACCTAAACTGGTAAAAGGTTGTGTTTTTACCTTAGTGTATTATCTGTAGGGAGAAATTAAAATATATATATATAAAAATATTATGTTTAAACATTGGGAGAGACATTGAAAATAAATACACGTAGCTGAGGGAAGAAGAGCTTCATGGGACAGCGAAGAATGCAATGCTATGAATTTATTCTTTCATCAGAGAATTAAATCACATCAAATTGCATAAAATGCAACTGCTCTAACACCACTCCTTTTTTTTTTTTTTTTTTTTTCAAAAAACCAGAAAGATTTCTGATAAACGAGACTTGCCAGCAAGAAATCTCACAACATATCTCAGGCACAGTAATACAGAAAGCGTGATATAGGAGACCTGACTCATCCCAGAACCGATCCTATTTACATATCTCTGGCTGAACTTCTCGCAGCGATGCTCTTGTACGCTTAAGCGCTTGCCGTGGGCTGTGGCACTTCATTTGGCAATGAAAATGGCCCACGAAGGAAAAGGTACAGCATTTACCGGCAAAATACTTTTAACAAGAATCAAATCACCTGGGGGTTAAACATTTGTGAAGGCACTTCTTGCATTAGTGAGTGAGCTTCTAAGCAATACAGTCTTCCCTTGAGACTCCCTTGAGATCTCCTGCGCCTAGCAAAATTCGCAGCCCTGCTAGAGATGTTACAGCACCATTGCATCTGAGAACCTGCCTTAGGCTGTATCTGCTCATACCTCTCAACCTGGGCATCAGCAGCAGATACAGAAGGAATCATCACATTTATGGAGCACTGAAAATGTAAGCTATGTTTTTTTTTTTTTCCCCCTCTGAACGAAGCAGTTTAAATTCAAATACGCTGATATATCACTAGAGCATTTCTCAATGCACACGCTCGTCATAATAAATAAGCTAAATATAAGCAGCATCACAATTTATAAAAGTGCAAAATTATGCTGAATGAATTAGCTGCCTCCTTTCACAGTTGAGAGGTACTACTGGTTGGGAGGTGTGGCTGAAAGAATACTTGGTATCTATAGTACCCACAGCAAACTTGGACGGCACCTTTTAACCAATAGCCTTGCTATCAATTTTACCTACAGAGGTACTGACATTTCAGTGTCTATTTTTATATTTCCTAAAGTTCCATGCAAAATGGAAAAAAACAAATTCAAAGAGGTGCACAAGGCAAGGCTGCTTTGATCTGCCCACTGTGCCAGCAATGGGTTGGAGGATACATACATTACTCAGACAAAAAATATCCCCGTAGTGCTCTGGATTGTCTGTAATTGATGGTTTGTGGGCACAAAACCCATTTCTCTCATTTCCTTAGAATAATAAATTCCTTAAGCTCTTAACATCTTTTCTTACCTGAAAGGAGTCAGGATGTTGCGAACATCCTCCAGCAGCCACCACAAAAAAGCAAATCATATTTTCCCTCCCCAAAAGGCAGAAATAGTCTTTTACCTGGCTTGTTCCCCATGACGGATCCAAACAAGAGCCACATCAAAAGGCACTTGAGCTCCATGGGACTTGTTCAAATCTTTTGTCTGCCACACTGAGGATGGTGAAGTTTCTCAGAAGCGATGGGGCTGGTGCCGACCGAGCCGATGAGCTGTCTACTGCCTGGTTAGACCGGTGGGGAGCATCACCCTGCGTGCGCAGCAAGAACTTTGCTCTTTGGTCAGCAAATCGTCATTTCTCTGGCTGGCTCTGCAAGAAAGAATAAAAGCTGCTCTCTGTTCAGGTATTAGTAGCTTTTATCCAGGAAATCAAACTTAATGCTCGGTGTGGCGCAGCGTGCCGTCGTGTGTAGGAAGTGGTTTGAGACATCAGAGCTACCGACTCCAGAGCTGCTCCAGTACAGCTGAGACCAGTACAAGGGGGCAAGAGCCTCAAACCTGTGGCCGGACAGGCATTTGAGAGGGACCATTGCTGTAGAACACTTGCCCAGTGTATAACAATGGACTTCAGACACATCTGTGGGCTCTACCTACAAAGAAAAGGTCCCATGGGGTATCCTTTTGGCTTTTTGGAGGTCTTCATCTGCTGCTGCTGAAGCCACATTCCATTAATTTTTTGATGTATGCACGTTTGCAGTTTCTCTGAGTGAAAGCTTCTGAAGGGCGGGCAGTTTGATCAAAAAATACCTATGAGGATGAGGCTGGCAGGATTGGAAAGGGTTTCTCTTGTTCCTAAACTGTCCTGGATTGCAATGCTTCCGTGAAATTTGTTCTTCCAAACATCACTGGAAAACTGGAAATGATCAGGGAAGTATCACACTTTATGTAGTTTTTCTACAGCCGTTTCCACAGAAATTATTTTCCATTAGTACCTAGAGAATTAGTTGGGGAAGACTATGGAAAAACAGATTTAAATTATCTGTGGTAATCTCTCGTGATTATTACATGCTGGACATTTACTTCTCCTTTATAAACGCTTAATGAAGGAAGTCTTCCTAACAGGCATGCTAAGAAATAGATGCAATACATTTTTAAATGCCGCTACAGCTGCATGCATCGGTCGTAGCCACAGACACAGAGGATGCTGTTAGTATTTCTGCTCCTCACTGTCCTCACACCCGTAAGGGTGATGGTCCTGGGAAGGGCAGCTGACACAGGAAGGGAGCTTCTTTTGAGTGAGACCCAAACCAGACCTTTTTGGGGCGGTGAGTGAAGATGCTGTATCTATGGGAGGTTGCGCAAATGTGCGTCTTCTCCCCCAGCATGTGGAAAGGTGCAAACAAGACTTTAGGCAGTGCTCGTGAGAGCAGCAGACAGAAGAGATGCTACAGCCCCTGCTCTCTCTCTCCTGATAAATCTCCCTTTTCCCTTTTCATTAAAAGCTTTTGAGCAGCTTCACTGATGCAGGTGGGAAGTCCTCTCGGAGGGTCTGCTGGCAACGGGGCTTTGGCCAGGAGATTACTGCCCAAACCCAAATGCAACAGGGCGCGGAGAACACGTAAGACTTTCGGAGCAACTGCTGTGGGTGAAAAGTTCACGCACCCAGGGGCTGCTCCACTCTCCATAGATATTTACTGCCTCTGCTTTAGTACCAAATCATCTTCCACATTTAATAGCATAACAGGAAGCACTGATGCCAAAACATACTGAAGGACTCGGGAAGATTTACTCTTCAAACACCTGTCTGGAAGTCATAGATCTGGAGATATGCAACTGCATATGCAGAACCACAGCCATCTGTGTTGGTAAAATATATTTGTTACATTGCACAGAAAGAAATCCCAGACTGTTTATTGCAGCGTATGGAGGCATGGACCCAGGTTGGAGGTGCAACCAGAATCAACTTGATTCAGGGAGAGCATGCTTTTATACTCTGTGCGCAGAGAAAAACTTCTGCAAAAACTTTTCCATAAGCCCGTGCTCACAGCGGTCCTGCAGGCGCTGCCTACGCAACTCTCCTCCAGTCATAGCTTCTTCTAGCTTCACTTCTGCATTCCTGTGGTTCGGCTCCTGTGACCTCCGTGACTTCTGTTCCTTCTCCCCCTCAGTGCTCAATATATAAACTGGGGCGAGTTGGCCAAGGGGCAGTGAGCAGCTGTGTGGTGCTTAGTTGTTGGCTGAGATTAAACCATGACAGCCTGGGCA